CACCTCCTTCAGGATAATGTGCTGCAGTTCTTTGCTAAAAGCTTCTCGTCCTCTCCAATGAATGTGACACGGGAGATCTACACCAGCCTGGGTACGTCACTCTCACAGCATTGACCAAAGAAAAGTATTATACATTTCCATTCCAAAGGTTGAGCTTGTCTTTGTGTACAGTCCCAACAGAAGACAAAACATACTCTTAGTAGCTGGAGTATTTTCAGTTATCTCGCAGGCAGACACAATAGTTTTGTGACATCCACCTCTCAGCTTTCTGCTTCCGTCCCAGTGGCGTGAAGGTGAATCCACAGAACTCACTGACAGCAGAAATCATCAGACTTATTGTTTACTGAAGGAATAATTCATAGGCCTCAATGTTGACAGGTTCTACGGGGACTAACTAGTTGGTTTTTTAATGTTAATGACTTTGAATATTTAAATGGAAAATGTGGAGCGTAAATTGTATTTGCTAGATCATGTAAATAAGCAATATTTAACTTTTTCAGCTAAAAGTGTGGAGGCAAGTTTTGCGTCTCAAAAGCTGAGTTTCCCAACGGGCTCAGCCCCCCTCGACATTAACAGACCTGACGTCACTCGTCTTATCAAACAGGTACAGCATCTCGTCTCTAACAGCCTGTACGACATCATCAGCAGTCATAGGAACATAAATCAGCTTTTCCTCTCCGTCTCTCGTGTGTCAGATTCGATTGATGAATGACTTTCAAAAAGAGGTGACGACTTTTTGGATCCGTCATCCAGAGAAGTGAGTAGCTGTTGACAGATGTCTCTGAATGTGTTTGTCCCCACATCAGTCACTCTCCATATCAGATGCCACTGATTGACTTGTACCAAAACTAGATACTTACCTCCTTTTTGCTGCAGGTATATGGAGGAAATTATAGAGAGCAGTTTCTCCCTGTTGTCCCTCCATCATGAACACAGCTCAACGTCCCCTGGGACAGAGAAAGTACTGGAACCAATTCATTTACTGGCTTTACTGGACATCAAAGCTACCTGGTTTAATAAGTGGATGGTGGGTATCACATTTGAACATTTCTTTTTGCAGAATACAGTTTTGTACATGTTAACCATATTTATGTATCGCTCAATAGGGACATTGTCTCCCTCTCTTGCTTATCTGCACTCTTCCTCATATTTAATCTTGTCCCTCTCCTGATTTTATGTCTCTCTCTTATCTCAGCATGGCTACTACAGTAGGACGGTGGTTCTCAGACTCCTGGAGACAAAGTACAAATCTCTGGTGAGTGATTTACATAATAATCACTTTCTCTCACAAACCCCTTGTGCGTGCAGCAGCGCAAAGACACACCTAAGCGACTGACCAGCATGTCTGCTATGAAATTACATTTGTATTTGTGGGATTATTAATTAAAACAGCTTAACTGTGCGGGTCAAAGTAGGAGTAGGAGCCCTGTTAAAACTCTTGACTAAAAGGCTTGATAGATATGGCGTAGTGTCCTTCGGCAAGATTTGAACGACATGTGACTCGGGCTGGTCACACATACCAAATGTTTCAGTGATGAACCTCCACTTCCAATTCACTCCCATTCAAATCACTCATGTGTGACTGGGCCCTCATAGAGTAAAGCTCTCTGAGTGGACGCTGAGACTAAAAAATAATTGGAGTCTATTTATCATTCTGAATTCATTCTTAAGTTTTTTACGTGTTCACTGTATCATCTAAATCCAGCTCAACAGATGAGGAGCTGTAATTTCAAATGTTTTCAATAAAATACACTTGAATCCTTTTACTCTTTCCAGATTGTCGCAGCTCTTCAGCAGTGCATCCATTACAGTGACTCCTGCTTCACCACTGACACAACCGATCCCCAGTCAGCAGAGCAGCAGAACACTGGTAATTAAAAAAACAGTCCAATAGACTGTAGGAATTCCTCAGCAGGCTTATAAACTCCCTTCACCCAATGCCTCACTCTTCGTGGTGAACTCAAGCACATTTGCAGTAATGCTGATTTAATGTATCCTGCGAAAACAAACCAAAAATAAGTCGAGCCGAACCCCTGTGAACACCTAATGAGAAAGCAGTGCTTGATTTCAGGCCTGTGGGTGTTGAGTGCATTTTCCCGTCATAATTTATTCAGTTTTCAAAATGTTCACACGCAGTTTCTGCCGCCAATTAAAGCTGAGGAATGGAGAGAAAAACAGCAGAAAGGAAGAAAAGGAATAGGAAATACAAAGAAGACAAACTGCTCAGTGTGTCGGAGAGAAAGTATTGATGGAAGGTTTAAAAAAACGAGGACATGAAGGTCAAGAAATAAACCATCACGCTTCAGGAAGAGAATTGCCTCACTCCATTTATAAATAACAATTAATTACTACAGGACATTGTTGAGTTTGCTATTATACCTTGCTCTAATCAGAACTTAATTGGTAATAATTTGGACCACATATCCCATAAACCCTAAACCCTCTAATTAGCATTTAGAGTCATAATAAACAGTAATGTGCTGCACATTGAACTGGAAATTGAATATAGTGGTCAATGGGGTGTGAGTCACAGTCTCGGTGCATTATCTCCTTTAAGCCAACTGGCTCCTTGAGACTGGACATTTTGACCTTGTCTTGGATGAGTAGAGAAACGCCAACCCCCCCCCCCCCCCCCCCCCCCCCCCCCCCTGACCGCCACTGATGCACCGCTCGTAAAAGAGGAGTTTATTGAGCTGTGCCTCGTTTTTGATTTCTGCACCCCAGAGGCGCTGCAGGGTTGTCACATGCGGTTTTTGCACTTGTCAATCTCAGTGTCTCGCAGAAGCTGTAGTTATGAAATGTTGCAGTTAGTAGATTAGAAGACGTTTGAAAAAAAATCGTGCAACTTAATGAATACTAAGCAGTCCTTTACTTTTTCCCTCCTGGAACATACACAGTTTACATGTACCAGTCCGTGCTCAGTGTCTTAAGGTGGAGAAGGTGGCTTGTTTTTCTCAGTGTCTCTACCTCTAGCATCTTCTAACATAATAATCAGAAATATTTGGACACTGGAAATGTTGTGACAGCCAAATTCAAGACAATCTTTATTCTGTGTTTCAGTCCAAAGGAGCGTTTATTCAGGAAAGGAGCTGGAATACGCCGTCTTTGTCCACTCTCTGTGTTTCCTGGGAAAACTCCTCATCTACACCAATGGAAGAAAACTCTTCCCCGTCAAAGTGAAGAAGCGCAAAGGTGCGAAACTTCTACTATAAAATATAAAGTTTGACTGATACCCAAACATTACAAAGAGCCTCATACAGTAATGTTTTTTTTCAAATGGTGTCAGCTGCTGGTCTCAAAAACATTCACTTGTGGTTTTATTGAAAGACTTGCAGTTAAAGCGACTAACAGATGTGTTGATAGTGAATAATGCCCTGTTCAGATATTCACCTCTACCTTGATGATGTAACTGCAGCATACTTGTAAAATCCAATCTTTACAGCAGATAATCTTGTGTAGGAATGTGTGTGATCAGCTTTCACATGGCACCACTCCCTCCACCTCTCCTCTGCAGTGATTAGGTCCCCTCCAGCCCATCTTAATCACCGATAAAGTTATGTAACGTTGCTGAATTGTCCTCAGAGTCATCGTTTGCTGCCCCAGCACTTTAACGTTGTTTCACCCACATTCACTCTCCTTCCAATTAAATCGATTAAAATCTCTGGCGTCAGAATCTTTTATAAAAATTATAATGACGCTCTCTAGGTGGAGATGTACTGACGAGTCTCTCCACACCTTGAAGGTCAGTTTGTGCCATATGCGTCCTCGTATGCGTCATCTCCTGCAACACATATTAAAAAAAATTTCTCCCCTCTATTTTAATTGACAGAGTGGATGAATAATGTTTTCAGGGTTTATTTTCATATTTTCCTCACCGTCCTTATTCTGGACACACATCAAGCAAGTTAAGAGGAAATAAAAATGTCTATATCCTTACATTTCTAGTATGATCTATGTGCAATATTGCAATAAATAATTCAATATATAATAATTTCATTATTTATTAGGTTTTTGTTATTCATTGATTTATCATTTAGGGTACAAATTTCCAGAAAACACAATCGTAGAGCTAAAAGAAAACAAGTTGGCTGTGACCAATGACCAAAGCTTTTCTAACTTTTCTTGGGAATTCCACCCAGAGTCGATCCTTGTCACCAAGGCTACCAAAACATCGGAGGACTTCCTTCTCGGTAGCCACTACTCATTGTGTCTGAATCACCAGACTCTTTTACCCATTTACTCATGTCTGTGTTTCAGATCCAGTCAGCCTGACAGACCTCGTCGTCATCCTGATTCATATCATGTACCAACACCCGGAGCCTCCTCACAGTGATACCTCAAACACAGGTGGGATCATGCACGTACATAAAAGTACGTCGACCAGTTTCGGCATCCTCCCCTATCTTCTTTCCAGACTCAAAGTCTGGAACTCTCCCTGTGAGGCATAACAGCATTCCTCAAACCATATCTTTTATCTCTTAACCTTGTACTGAGTCATGCAGTACTACGGTTGTCTCCTGGAAGAACCTGCTTTATTGCCCCATTAATTCTCGTGAATTATTGCAGCAACTCGGCTGCCAATGATCAATAGTGGTCCCCACCTTGACTTTGTCAGAGGAGCATTTCTTGTGGGAGTCATCCTGGGCCAGTCATTGATTCTAATTAATATTTTACTTTTAGTCTGAGTAAGATCACAGCTATCATGTATGACACTATTGTGAGTGGTATCATGATACTGCAGAATAAAGTTGGGAGTAGATGTTAAAGTTATGTATGTGTGTTATCGATCCAACCGTAGAAAGTCACAAGCATCCAGATGCTGTGACAGAAAGGGAGCAAGCAGGAAAAATGTGTTTACCTTCAGTAAAAGATGGAAATGTTATGGAATGAAGATACATGTGTGTGAGGAAAAGGCTATAATTCATTGTTTGTGTATTCAGACTCCCTGTCGCCCAGCTGTCTGGTGATGGAGGTGCTGTGGATGCTGTGTGAGAGGACGGAGTGTGCTGCAGAGTGTCTCTACCAGACTGCTGTCATAGAGACGCTGCTGGCTCCTGTCATAGCTCTGCTCAATGGACAGCAGGTCTCACACACACACACACACACACACACACACACGCATATGCTAGTATGAGCAGGGACACTGCATCACTCTGCTTTATTCATATATTTAGATGTATTTGCTCATTAATATATGAATAAACAGAACATTCTAGTCAACCACAAGGCCTTGTACAGTCATTGACCCCAGAATTTAATTACAGTTCAGTTTTAATGGTCTAAATTTTATCTCAGGGACCCTTTCACCTTGCTCTGATTTATTTCTGGGGAAAACACCGACTACTTTGTCATTTGGTGGAAATTGTCATTTTTAAAGACGTCTGACTGTAACTCAAAATATTGTGAATCTGGCAACTTCAGCCGTCACTTGACTGTCGCTCAGTTGAGCGCATACCTCCACCTAATTTACTAGATCCAGATTTTCATTTAGTTCTGCATCAAATTGCACACACTCATAAATATTGGTCCTCCAAACACGCCTGATTTTTTTCATCCTGATTCATTTGTTATTATCTGAGAAACCAGTCCCGCAATGTCTTGTCTCTTGTCAGCCTTTCACTAACTTAGAAAACTGTGGAAGTGCAGGTTATGAAAATGCGGCAGCTTTTCCCCCTGTTTCATTATTGTCAAAGTTAATGATGCTATTTCAGTTTTTGATATCTGCTCATCCCTCCTGGGATTCCACTTGTGTCTGAAGCTGCTGGGTAATTCTGTCTGTTTGTTCTCTTTGCTTCGCAGTGCAAATTAAAGTCTCCTGCAGCAACACTGACACTCATTGCTGACATTCTGGCTCGCATCGCAAACACTGACAGAGGATTAGCCCTCTTCTTACACGAGAAGAACCTCCTGGTGGCGGACAGTGAGAGGTGAGGCGGTGTGATTGATTAAATAAATACACAGTGTCATTTTGTATTTTTGATGGTGATGAATAAATTACATTTCCCTGACTTCAACAAGGAGTTTGAGTTTGCTTAACCAATCATTTTGGTTTTGCATGGAAAACAGATCACACCAGAGAATGTCTGTGTTTATCACACAGAACTATAATCTCTTTGATCAAGTCTAGCTCCAGAAAACACAGAGGTGATCCGGTTCACTGTGGGGCTGCAGGTTAGTTTGGTATTCTGTTTTAATTGGGTGGCTGTGACAATGACCTCAGCAGGTTCGGTCTGTCCCAAGGTTGTTGCCAAGTTGAAGTATTTTACAAATTCACTGCCTCCTCTAATAAAGTTGTGCAAATGAATTCAGTAGGGGTCTCAATCCCTGTTTTGGTATTCAAGGAATTAAGATATTGAGTCCAGCCGTATATAAAGATGGCTAAGGTGTTTGCATTTCCTTCCAGCAATAACACTGCCATCTTGCATCAATGATGTTATAAATTCAACCGGGCGATGGAGCCACAGTATTGAGGTCTCGCCGTCAGTCGTCAGTCTCAGCTGTCAATCATAATGTTTCCCCTCATTTTTATAGCATCAGATAACTAATTAAAATCAAACTTATCAGGATCATGAGCACTTCAACATACATACACACATAAGAACTACCTATAATGACAGAGACCATTATATTTTGACTTTTTTGTTTGGTCCAAGTCTCACCCATCAACATGGAGGAGGCAGGGTTGAAGACCTATACTGCAGCTAGCCACTAGGGGGTGATTGAGATGCTTGGGCTCCACTTTTCTGGGAGCAGTCGTGTTGTAAATAAAACGTATAAATATTATTATGGCACAAAAACTCATAAGCGTCTCTCTCTTCTTCCGTTGTCTCTCTCCTCTGCAGAACCATTGCCGCTCTTGTTGTCGTGCAGTTCACCCTGAGGCTGCTGAATAAGGATTTGTCATCACTAAGTGAATCTGATGCATCCCATACATTATGTGGAGCTTTTATCTTTGTGTGTAGGCAGATATACAACAGCTGTGAGGGTCTGCAGGTCCTCCGACCTCACGGCCTGCACAAGGCTGTAGCTGCTGCGTGGAAAAAGGTACCTGCATCTCATCTGTGGATATAATGAGAACACACTCCATGACTGGCATTCAACGTTTTTTTTATTATTGTGTTAGAAGTTCACATACTTAATAACCTTAATAGATTTTTTTATCTGATTCGGTGTTTAAAGAATAGTCCTTAATGGATTATGTGTTAAAAACATTTTATTCATTTAACACATTGTAAAAAAAACAAAAAAAACAAAACGTATTGAATTTACTCTAGTTAGTTTCTGTAAATGCAGAGAGACGGTAACTAAATTGAATCCTTTTTTTCCTACAACATCTAATGGAGGGTTGTCCATGTCTAATGATCAGTTTCACTGGCTGGAATACTCCTGTCGTGTTTCATTTGCTTGATGAATCCACTGTTCTCTCTTTATTCTCCACGGTAAAAATCGCATCAACATTTACGGGCAAATTAACCAACCGCTGTAATCTGTAGTTCAGACGACTTCTTCTGTCAAAACAAAGCGTCGACATTAGAATAACTTCAGAATTACAGAAATATTATATAGTATAAAACTCCCAGCCACTTCTGGTGCAATTGGAGGAATCATTTAGAAGACCTGCAGTGGCACTGCTTCGGAAGAGTATGAGGTATTAATATCTCAGTATTAAATTGTCACTTCTTACTTCCTTGATTTTCAAACCATGCACATCTACGACTCATTTCCTTCTGACTCACCTAGTTTGCGTCAAATATTAATAATCAGCTGGCACGTACTTCACTGCCACACTAGTACATGTCTCAACGGCAAGCACACACACTTTCACTGTGTTACAACAGTGACGTTAGTCCAGTTCCTATGAACAGATTATAAGTATTATAAGGAAGCGTGTCAGTGTAATTTCATCATCGGGGAAAATAAGTTAACCATTTAAGTGTTTGATAGACTAGACGGACCATGTTTATACTATTGTTAGATGGGTTATAAACTTTCAAATGGTGAAAGTGTTGGCAATGGAAGACAATCCAGTCCGCCAGAATTGATATCAGTGCACTTTGAAAGATGCACCAACATGTCGTATATGATATGTATCTGATATGACATTAAAGCAATTCTATAGACTGCAGCACAAAACATAAAGGCTATTTGTAGACCAACGGTAAAGAAATGTAAAGGTATCTTTAAATTCTTGAGTCAAATGAGCTTCCAGAATTGTCTTTATTCCCTGAGAGAGTCTGGTATGAATCTGTGAGTTAATTTAATGTTAAATATAAAACAAACAAAGGGATCTGTTTATGAGTCTCTCATTGTTCCAGCAGTAGACTTAATAGTTCTGGTGAAAATCTCCAGATCTGCCTACACACCCATACACATGGATTAAAAGATAAGAAGTTATACTTTAACTAACACATTTTCCTTCCTTGCTGCCAGACAAGAACCTTGTCTGAAAGGGAACCCTCCCTGAAACCTGGGGTCAACGCTGGCGCATCCACCCAGGACCTGCAGAACATGTGAGGCCACGCACACAAACAAACACACACACAGTTCGAGAACTAGTTCAAAACCTTGGAATCAAAGCAGCGATTTGTCATGATGCAGGTGTCCCCGAGTCGACATGAAAAACAAAGCTTTGTTTTCTCAGTCACTTTCTGCTGCAGGGACTGAAGAGCGATGATGTTTTGGACTTTGTTTGGATATTTTGCTTTACAACCTTCAACCGTTTTTTCCTTTGTCAAATATGGCTGCAAGCTCATGAACACAACCACGTTCATCTATTACATTGTTTTTATACAGGATGAAGGAAAACAAAAGATTCTAGTGTCGCTGTGCACAATCGATATAGATCCACATATTCAAGAAATCAATATGTGTAAAGATGCATTTGTTTTATATCAATAGCACAATGCTAATCAACCTTATATAATTGATCAGTGTCCTTCCTGAACTTCTTTGCCCTGGCTGATTGCCCAGATTAACTGAACTGACCTGAACTGATGTTGTGCGCTGATGTATATGTTCATGTCTCCACCCACAGGAAGGAACACTTAAAAATTCAAAAGGCAAAACACCTGATTTGTCTCCCAAACTAGATTTCTCAGTATTTTCGTTTTGGCCAAGGCTCTGATTTATTTATGATATAAAAAGGTCAGAGGAACTGTAGCGTGAAAGACGTAACTTAAATATCATATTTGATGTTTTTATTTAATTTATTTTTATTATAATTATAGTTTCTTGACACAAATGAGCTTGTCAGACCACAAAACAAGATTCCTTTCATTTCACATGCATCTGTATCATCATTGATGAATTGCTTTAATCCAAATTGTCTCTGCAACAAAGCGCTGCTGCTGAAGTCATAGTCAGCGTTTCCCAGCTTAGAAGCACATTTACCACTTGTACATTTTCCATCCGTTATCCCGGCTGCTCACTTGTGTAATGAATTGACTTCCTTGACTTGAACACTGTGTGAATACATTGCACTACAGCTCCCTCTGTCTTTCTCTGTGACTGTGGAACAGACTCATGTGGGAGGAAACGTTGTTGGACAGCCTGCTGAATTTCGCTGTGACTCCCAAAGGTCTGCTGCTGCTCCAGCAGACAGGGGCCATCGATGAATGTGTCTCCTACATGTTTTCTCGCTTTACTAAAAAACTACAGGTAACAGCAAATACTCAACTTTAAAATGCCACCACTATAGAACTGTGGTCCTTTTCTTCTTCGCCTCTTCCATCATGAAAGTTTCCTCCTTCAGCCTTTTATTAATAGGCCAAACATCTGCTGGGCTAAGTGCTATTTCACAGAGACACAGTCCGTCCTGGAAACTTTCCAAACCTCAGTGACTACATGTGGCCGGTCCCTCAGCGGCCCTGCTGGAGCAGTCTGGGGGTTAAGTGATTTTCTGTGGGGCACCACAAGTGTGGTAATGAGGGAGCAGCACTTCACATATTCTCATCCATCTAATTTCCAGTCCCCAATTTAAACTGTGTCGAGTGCGCAGCAGCTTAAAAGCACTGGTAGCTGCCTTACCGCCTGCACTTCTTTAAAGCATCAGACTTTAGTGTAGAAATGCTGATGAAGCACGGCTGCTCATATAGTTTCATGGTCCCATTTCATCACCTTTATGGCCCTGAAAAACTACATTTTGGCAGTGGCTCGATTTTAATCCTCCTTGATGTGCCCAATTATATATTATGTTGTTCAAGTGATTCAAATTGACTTGAGTAACTGCTGGTCAACGCCACAACCACGGCACAATTTGGAAAGAAATCAGTAATTTCACACAGATTTCTTGGCTTTTTAATTTCATAATAGCTCCTTTATCAGGATAATATATTTTAAAAATCTTAATTCGCTCTGTTAGCCTATGTCATCGGTATCTCTGCTAATTTGTTGGCCCTGCTCTTCCTCAAAGTCACAGTCACATATCCTGAAGCTCAAAGGCTGTTACGTCCAGCTACTTCCACACTGGCTTTGATTTCTTCATCTCTGGACCGTACATATCCCTTACAGACATATTATTCTCCATAATTCATATTTTAAACCCACATACACCCAGTTTCAAACCAAAGCTAGTCCCCTGCAGGCCTAATTCACTGCCATTGTTTGTGCATGTTTGTAATTGCCTCTCTCGTTTCACTTGGAATGTAATTATATTTTGTTTATTTTTAGGTGTGATGTTGTGTTGTAGCTAACGAAGTGAAGGATAATCTGTTTTTATGTGTTTTTCTGCAGGTGAGCCGCTGTGAGAAGTTTGGATACGGGGTGATGGTGACACAGGTGGCAGCAACTGCTCCTGGGGTGGCGGCTTTGCATTGTTCAGGTACTTAATCAAGTGAACAAGTTCACTTGTCATCTGACTGTGATGCTTAAAGCTTGTACCTAAAGACGTTGTCTAGTCAACATAAAGCAGACATCAAGCAGCCCAGAGAGAAAACATCTTTGTGAAATTGTATGTCAGGGTAAATGGATGAAAAATGAACAAGAGAAGATAATATATTATATATATATTAGTGCCCATATTATGCTTTTTTTTTTCCTTTCCCATTTTCCCTTAGTGTCATGGCTTTTTTTGAACATGTAAGTGCACAAAGTCCTTCTCTCCGTTAGAAATTGCCTGAAATGCCTTGTTTGCATTCCTGGCTTTTTCTCCTTAAAGCTTCTTTGTCACTGAGTAACATGTAACGTGCACATCTACCGGCTTTAGTTAGACTTTAATAGAGTTGTTTACAGCTGATCAAGATGCCTTTGGCTAAGAGGTCTAATATTCCTGTCACATGCTTTGAGCGGTTGAATAATCACATAGAGTGTTCAACCTGACTAACAGGTGCATACTGGGCTTTTTAGGGGTCGGGGTCAAGTGCTAAAATATCTCTTGTAAAATCGTATGATTCCAAGCTTACGTATTAAAAATGTCATTCTAGACTTTCTTCTTACAAATGTTGTGTCTCAGGCTTTGTGCGGGCGCTGGTGGTCGAGCTGTGGTCAACGCTGGAATGCGGAAGTGAAGATGTGAGGGTGGTGCGTCCCAAACCGACACCCATGGACCCCATCGACAGGAGCTGCCTTAAGGTACCCTGTGTGTGAGAGAGTGAACTGTAGTCGGAGTTTATTCTTTTCATTGATACAAATCTACTGTAACCTGATTCCTTCTTGCATGAGGCTGCATTTTTCGACATGGTACAAGTTTGGGCAGAATTTCCAGGCTCAGTCTTGGACGGGCTCGAAATTAAATTCAAAGCATAAGAACATTGTGTGTGTGTGTGTTTGTGTGTGTGTGTGTTTGTGTGTGTGTGGTGCTGGCGTCTTGACAGGACCAGGTCGTCTCTCCCTCTCAATGAAGCTAGCCAAGTGAATACAGATAACCAGTCAAGTGTCAACAGTGCCCTGCCACTGGTGGCTTCAGAGCCTGCCTTATCAGCGGGTCAGCTGCCAGGTTACACACGGACAGTCCGACCTCCCTGTCCGTCCCTGTCAGCACATGGCAGCACAGACCTGAGCCTGTGCTGAAAACAGATAAAATGTCATCAAACATGTGTGGGATGAAACAAACTAAATATGTAGCACAGAGGTTTTATACTCGTTTTTTGGGCGAATAAGGTTTTGTTGAATTTTATGCGATGGACACATGGAAGACAATAAAACATGTAGAGGGCTGTAGTGCACCAGGTCAGAGCATTTCTAAATATTTTTTACATTACCTGTCTGTGTCTTTTTGTCTCCCCAGTCCTTCCTGTCCTTGGTCAACCTGCTCTCTTCTTCCCGGTCTGTATGGGAGCTGCTGGCTCAACAGCCTTTAGCCAACAAGGATGAATACACCCTGAGAGAAATGCCCACCTCCATTCCTGTGAGTGGTTTTCACACTGTGCCGTTCAGATTTCATGCAATGCCTCTTTCATCCATTTGAGGGCATGTTTGGCTTTTTTATTTCGCTTCCAACCACCACCCATGTATTTGTTACATCATGCAAAGGGTCTCCTCCTAAACCCCCGATACACCGAGGCTGATGCACATTTTTCACCTTCCACATTGTAAATATCTACACTGTTTTCGTTTCGCACCATAACTGCGACATTGTGTTTCACAGCCTCTCGTTGTACTCCGCAGGATTTGATTGACAGGCTGATTGCTGTGAATTCAGAAGCAAAGATTCATTCGTTGTTCCACTATGAGCAGTCTCACACATTTGGCCTGAGGTGAGAATTTTTTTCTTCTCATATTACTTAATGTTGGCGTGGAAGCACATCGGCATCGGATAAGCGCGCGCACACGCATACACACTTCAGCCGCTGGCAACAACAGACTGACATGGTTCTTTATACTTTGATTACCCAGCACTGAAAGGCTGATGAAAGGATTTCTGTGGATAAGAGAGGAATAAGCTTGGCTGCGTGGGTGTGAATGCATGTGAATATATATGTGCGTGTATTTCTATATTTATGAAGAACAGACATCCCAACAAGTGAGGAGGGTGATGAAGGAGTTCCTCTAAAACGAGGAGCTATTCTAGTACTCTAGTATTTAATTAGAGGGTGGGGTTAAACTAAATACTTTAATCTAAAAATGGCCTTTTAGAGATTTCAATAATATCTGTTGTCATGCATCTTGAAGCTGAAAGTTCAATCAACATTTTGAATAATTTAGGTTCACAAGTCGACAAACATATGTGACATAGGTCTAGTAGACATCTGAATGAGAAACTGTAGCTTCACGGTGATGTGCTCCCCTCTAAGAACAGCTAAACATGTTTAGCAGAGAGATGAGAATGCGACAGACAGGAGAAACGTTCCTTCGTGTCTTCGCTGTGTGCGTGTAGAGCTCTGGTGGTTGCTGTGCATCCCCTTGCCTTCTTGAAAGGCTTTCAGAATCACAATAGCTTTGACTTGTTTGGAGCCACGCCGACTCACTCCGTCTGTGCCTGTCAGTCAGCCCACTCCCATTAACATCCACAAACCAAGTGAGAGGAACAAGAGTCTCTGCTCATTTACTGATAGATTTACTGACTGATTTTAAATGTTCTGCTTGGGAAATAGTTCATCTAACATGAAAAGCATAAAGAACATAAAAAGTTGAAACCACTACACTGCAGGGTTTTACATGGTAATATTTTCTGGATTACATACCACTTTGCCGCAATGTCTCGGCTATACAACACACCTCACCAGTTATTTAAACCATATCCTTTTTACTCTGCTCACCCACAATGCAATGCTGCCTGTTTTGATTCAATTTTCTTATTATCTTGTGCCTGAAGGTACATGACAGCATGGTATAGGGATGGAGCTGTATTGATTCCAAAGGGGAAAATTGCTTCATTAAAGCAGCTGCTACACACAAGGACATGGTGGTTAATTAACAATGTGTTGGTTAAGACTCGACTTCAAATACAAAGCTCTGGAAAGTAAGTTAATAACGTCCGTTTTTATTAAACTCAGAATACAGTGGCTCACTTTTTTTTTTTCTAAATAGATAACTATACTATATAATGTGTTCCACTACTCCCCAACACTATACGTTCGATTAAAGTATATGAAGTATATCTGTCAGAGGATGTTTTGTTCAACCCATACACTTCCATCACAGGAAGTAGAGCAGGCCAGGGTTATTCATGCACAGGATGTTTGTCCCGACACACAAATGTAGGTTACACATATTGTTGTGAAGTAGCTGGTTCCACTGTATGTGGCTTTTCACATATCTGCAGCAGGCTTGTTTTTCTTCTCTGTATATTTGTATTTAATTACGACCAGCGCCAAGGACATTGTGTTTTCATCTTGTTTTTTTTTTTTCCTCCACAGAGGAGGTTACGCTTTCACCGGTATCTTTGTGTTTGTCGGCAGGATTAGGCAAAAAGTAGTAGTTCATGGTGAATTTTAAGATCTCTGGATCATTGTCCTATAATTATCTTCTCTCTCTTGACTTTCCAAACCATCCATTCAGCGAGACACAAGAAACTAACCACACAGAACAACCAAACCACAGTCAGATCCAGGAAGCTCTTCTTCCGTTGTATCCCCTTAATTCTCCACTTGCACATTTGTATTAAACGAAATTAAATTGTATTAAATTTGACTCTCTAAAACCTGAATATACCGATCATGTCTCTGTGTTAGCCTTTGCAAGAGAGACAGAAACCTCACCTGAGGTTAGACGACCAAACCTACTGTCACCTTGTTAGTTTTTTTGTGACCACAGTCGACAGGGGAGTAAGGGAAGTCAGCCTCAGTACAATCAGGTGTTGATCCATCACATACTGAATAATAGATTATCGCTCCAGGTCGCTCTCCTGCTGGAATGTGTTATTTGTTTTCTCTTGAATGTCTGTTTCCTCATGGAAAGAGCAAAACGTGATAAAGTGAATATGTTGTTTCCACGTGTGTTGTTGTCAGATTTCCGTGTTGGTGTAGGACTCAAGGACAATTGATGTGCTCATTGGTGTAAACAATGGAGTCTTTGTTTTGTGTAGCTGCATGTTTGTCCTTTTCCAACCAGGTGCTTGAATGTTGTGACATGGTGTGTGCTTATTAAAATGATGATAGTGGAGTTGTTCTGTATTTTTCATATTGTCAGTACACTTTCCTACTCAGTGGCACACAGCTCCAGGCCCAGTGGGTCCAAATGAAGGTATAAATTTTGAAAACAGATCGTGAATACATAGTGCCAAAGTTATTCCCTAAAACAGCTGGGCACCGTGGTACTCAGCAAATTACTCGAGCAGGAGAATATGCTTTTGATGGGCACGCTGGCAGCTGCAGATTTATGTAAATTTGATGCACACTAAGCATTTATGGCGGCATGACGGTGTGTCTGGAAAGGGATCAAAATAAAGTGCCCGTGTTTGTTTTTTTGGACAACAACAGAGCTCTGTGGCTCTCGTTAGAATACATTCATGGCTGGTTTTGGGGGATTTGTTGACAGATAAAACTGTTGTAATATAAATCCAGTATTGCTCAGCCTGTCTTTTGAAAAAGTGAAACCTCAGGAGTTGGTTTGAACTCTGCAATTTTCATGACCAATTGCCCAAATGTCTCTCATGCATGAAGCTCACGACGCTCTCACACATCACTCTTGCGCAGTGTCACAACAGCTTTGACCTTTTCTATCGTATTCAAACCAAATCGAATCATGAGCGCCACTGAGCGTTCCTCAAGTAGAGCAGCCCCCGTAGAAAAAGAGAAGCCACCTCTCTCCTCCACGTCTCCGGCTCTTCACAAGCTAATGAGCTAAAATCCCTCAGCCCTCTTCCTAGTTGCGAAAAGCTGCTTTGTTGTCATGGCAACCACCACTCTTCCCAGTGTTCTCCCCCCCCCCCCCCCCGTCTGAATTGTTTGGATGCCTCTCATCTACTCTCCGTGCGACTGACGCCTCTGAACACGTCGAGCGTGTGTGCCGCTGCAGAACTTCCTGCATTTCATCCTGTTTGTGATTGAATGTTTTTACAAACTCGATCACACAACCTTTAAAAAAAAAACAAAAAAAAACACAGCATTGAAAGGAAATACCATTAAATGCTGTTCATCTAACTCCAGCGATGCGATTTGCACCGTGGGTGAAGCAGAGAACATTTATAGGTCTTCACTGCAGTGTAGAATTCAGATGTTTGTATTGTAGGAAGGCGCTGAGGTTCCCAGGTCCTGAGTCTCGGTGTCAGCGGTGGTCATCTCACCTCCCCAAACATAGAAACCCGAATTAAAATAGATATGGTAGATATTAACTTTGACTTGTTGGTTTGGCCCATATCCTGGTTTATGACCTACACTGCAGCCAGCCACCAGGGGGCTATCACGCTACCATGGACCATTCTTATATCCAGCCTGTGGTTGCACTGGGGGGAGGTGCTGATATTGAAAACAGACTTTTGGGGATTTAATAGTTTTTGACATTTCCACTAACTTCATGGAAGTTTCATGAGTGATGTGAAAGTCATGGAAAATGACTCACTACACTCTAATGGTTTTATGATTGGTTATTAAGTTTTTTCATATCCACAACATTCAAATGATCACCAGCATATATGTGATGCTTTAGATGATTTGATTTAAACGTCTTCTGACTGCTCGCTATAAGTCAAGCAAATTGCTGACCATCTGCATCTCACATCATGCATGACCAATCAATCATGAGTATGATCATCTGTCATCCTGGCAAGCGGATTACATTAGTCCTCTGATGCATGCGGGCTCATAATCAAGGGAGTAATCATCTGTCGTGAGTGGATGTTTCAATGCAAGGCCAACGTTCAATAAAGTGAACCATATTCCTTCTCAGCAGGAATGAAAGCTAGGATTAAGTTCTTACATTACATCAATTGTAGTGTTTCAATTATCTCAAACGTCCATTGTGCGTCTTCTCTTTGAATTCAGTTTGAATATAATACAGTTTGAATATATATACATATACAATTTCTTCTTTTCCAATCAGTTGTTTCTGCCAGAAGTATCGCTGTCCTACTACACAATCATTTGTTTATGTCAGCTTGTCGTTTTCTCATGGTTCACAGACCAAGAGATTAATCAGAAGGATAGTCAGCCGTAACTGGTAATAGAGATAATCATTAGGAACGAAAAGCTCCTGCAGGGCTGCAAGGTTGGAAGACGGTCTGGTTCTGTAACCTCTTTGTATCCAGCAGTGAGAGGTCAGGAGGCCGGACTGATTCTCAGCCTCTTACTGCTGCCTCCGTCAGAATGAGTGATTGGAGCTTCAGTAAAACAGGATTTCATGTAACTCCACGGCACATCAGGAAATTAACATTTTTGTGATGTCGGGATCCAGGCAGTAAATTTAAACTGCTTTTTAAACGTTTAGAATAACGATAATGATATTTTTGTTCATTTCCCTCGTCATTTGTCGTTTTTTGTAAAATGGTCCCTTAATAGCAGCGATAACGAAGAAGAAAAATCAACTTGCACAGATGTAAAACTGTCTAAAAAGAAATGCACCACTTAGGTTCAGTTAATTCTTAAACTCAACGGATTCATAACTCGTTTAAAATGAATGACAACTGCATAGAACACCAGAAGAAGGTTGTTATTGATTGAGCCTCAACAGAAGTAATCCAATATTCCTACAACCACGTTTCATTGCCAAGATCATTTCTGATAGTCACATAATGTTCCCGAATATCGTATCTATCAGTCTTTGTATGTCCTTAATGCTTTTTATGTTTTTAATGAGAAAAAGCACATTTCCTAAAAAATGTTTCACCCTTGCAAAGATTTCCCCAAAGGCACAAGTGAAGCATTCTGCTTAGCTTGATCAAAAGTGGTTAGAGGGGTTTGAATGAGAGGGGCATTCGTCCACCTGGCACCACCTGACATAATGAGAAGACCGATGATAGAAATCTGATTTACAAGACCAATTTTGACATAATTAATTGCGGGGGTAGTCTGGGGAGACGGGAGACAATAAACATTAACTAGATTGTTGTGATTAATTCCGCACAGAGGTGACACTTATGAGATCATTTCAGAAAGCAGTTAAACAAAGTCTAAATTAAGATAAGCAGTAATATATTTACATGTATATCAGTTAAAATACCTTTTATAGCTGTAACACTCAAGTTAAAATCATTGATGCAGGTTTAACAGATGTTATGGAGCGTCTCCACTCTACAGGTCCATGTAAAACAGGCGGCTTTCTCAGGCTCTTGGTTTTCTTTGCCACTTAAATGTCTCAAAATGCCACTGGAGCTGAACAGCCTGCTCAAGCCTGGTGTCATTACCAGCAACAGAAAATCAGCCATGAAGCCTTTCCCTCAGGGCTCCCACTTAACAAAGCTTACAATTGGCTACAGCAAGCTGGCGCAGAAAAAATTGTGTTGACTGATACAGGACTTGCAGAGAGATACGACGCCAGAGGAAATAGACGGACCAAAGTCCAGTTGGGGTCTGTCTGCTTGGTTTTACAGTTTTAGCCACATTACAGGCTTTAACTGCTCTGTAGTATCTCATGATGGCAGTCCCCTCTGTGTTTTAATGTCTGTTGTTTTGTTTGACTGTGCTGCCGTAGACTGCTCAGTGTGCTCTGCTGTAATCTGGACTCGTTTCTGCTGCTGGAGAGCCAATACAACATCTGCTCCATGCTGCTGCACAGTCAGAGGGACAACGTCACTGAGCCAGACGCCAGCGACGGGTATGAACTCATAAATACTTTACTGCTTTTGAGTTATTTGTTTTAACTGTTGAGAGATTAGCGTGATTGCCCTTTTAACACAAAGATTCATGAATAGTATGACGCTCTTTTTCACAGTCCTTAACATCCGAGCCATGTGGGAAAATAACGTAATTTAACTGAAGCACTGTGGTGGATCCATCTAAAGTAGGAACATGATAAGAGGAAACAATTTCTTTGATTAAATTTGTCCAGGAGAATAAAACACAGAATAAAATCATGTACTATAATTTTACAGCAGCCTTTCTGCATTTGCAATTTTCTCTCATCTTAAACCACAGATGGCCATTGTTTCATTCAGATTTGTAAATGAGTCAGTGAGATTCAATGTGTTAATGATGACTTTTACGGGTCAGGTGTAACGGCGCTGCTCTTAAAACACAATAATTGTCTTTTCCAAAACTATTCCTGAACTTTGACACTACCCCCATGTCTTGTCTCGACTTTTCAACCACTGCATCATTTTCTAAGAAGTTAACTTTATTCCAGCCAGAGCAGGTTGAGCTACAGGAAGTGATATCAGACATTCAGACATTTCAGCAGCTGCCCTACCTGCCATGTTAAACTCCAACACAGTCGTTCACTCTGGTTCGCATTCAGAAAAGGTTATTTTTGCTCCTCCGTGCGTCACTCTGAAATGACGGAACATTTAATCATTGCTCAGGATGAGAAATTGTTTGTTTGTTTGCCTTGTCAAAGTAAAATGAAATATGGGAAGAAGAAAGTGAAAAGGCCGTTTCAGACAGTGGGCGTTCAAGAGCCCCACTCTCTTTTGTAATGTGTGGCGGAGCCGTGGCTGTTGGTTATGAATGGAAATGGCCCTGAAATGTCAACTGACATCACATGTCTGAGTGCTGGCTCCATTTTTGGAGAATGATGACTTGTTAATTTATCGTTCCATCTCCCTCTCCTCTTCCCTCTTCCTTTCATGCCGCCATTATCATCATGGACATCATCTCCTCTTCCTCCTCCTCTTTTCTCTCCTCTTCCTCCCTCATCTTAACTTTTACTTTGAAATATTACTGTTGATTTGCTCCCCACGTTTTCTTACATTCTTTGCTCTTACATGTCTCTATTTGATCTGCTCCGACCTTTTCAACTTTAATGAAATCCACATTCACCAAAACTACATTGTAAGGGCAATATGCACATTTTATTCTACCTCCTCCTTTTGAGCTATGAGTGATTTTTTTATTTCTTCCTAAAAAATGTATGCAAATTACGCTTTGTGGCGAGCAGGCTCGACTTGGAAAGAGCACTGTGCAAGAATATAGTCCCATTTTATTACCAATTTCAAGCCCAAATTGCCTCCGCTATCAGAACTATCCACCAAGGCTGAAACTCTTCATCCCCAACAGTGCCTTTATAATTGGAATACTCTGATCCTATCTGAAAATTAACATGGAAACCTTCTCTCTTTCTTTTCTAACTTACCTTGCAGCGATGATACAGTCACAGTCATTCAGAGGCTTTATTCAAAGTTCAATATCACTTGTTAGTGAAACTTGTCTGAGCGGCACTAAATTGAGGAGATTTGGTTGCTATATTAACTTCCCTGACCTTGTCCACCAAAGTATTATGGGGTAAAAAAAAGTGTATGATGTTATCTGCACATTCATTTGCACCTATATGTTAACATTTCCCTGAGTTCTCTGTCGAATCCCTTCATCTTTCTCAGGGAGTTCATCATCGACAGTCTCTCAGTGGAGAGGAACCACGTCCTGGTCCGTGTAAGTGTGGTCGGAGGTCCCTCTGAGAGGAGGCTTCCTCCTCGAGCTCTACAAGAGGTAAGCTTTGCTTTCCTTTTGACACAGTGTCCAGGTTTTAAATTGTGGGGGGTTCTTTCTACCTGCAGGTGCATTGACTCATTCCTGGAAATTAAAGTCTTGAGATTTTGTATAAAAGAGAAATGACATCCTGTGAATGTGAAAATTCAGCAGCATGTGGTGTTTGGGGTAGATCCAGGGCCTTTTTCCTCATCGTCAGCTGTAAATATTTATGCATGAGACAGCTAAGTGCAACACAACCACGAAAATAGCTTCATTTCTGTGACACTGAATATCACAGATGTTTGTGTTTTTGACATTTCACTGTGCAAATAATCTAAAATAAATATCTGTCTTCAATAGTATCTTTCAGGGAAGACAAACATATAAGCTGCTCAACAATATTTGTCTTTGACAGAACAGGAAAAAAAACACTTCCACTAGCGACTACAATTTTAATACAAATGAAGTTGCTGTTTGGAGCCTAGCCTCTTCAAGTCAGACATGTAGATATCAATTATTTAGTTGTTGTTCACGCTGAACCCAAAACAGAAGCCATTTTTTCTATTTTTTTTCACTGACAGAAAGGAAAGTTTATGGAAGACATATCTAGAGGGAAAGTGTAAATGAGCTCAGAGACAGTTTCCTCCATGTTTCACATCTCTCCTGTTACACATGGAGAATAAAAGGAGCGGAGAGCTGATGAATGAATGCTGAAATGTTCAAGACAAATAAAATATTAGAAAAATGAAAACCATTGTTTTTCCTGACGCTTATATTCAGACGTTAACATGATACCAATAAAATGTTTGCGAGAGCTTTCTGAAACATTAGTACTACTGTCTACTCAAGGACTTTTTCACTACCGTGTTTTTTTAAAAACCTAATCATGCACAAAATTAATACTTCACTTAGTTTTGACCAAAACTAGCAAAGTGTCAAATGATAAAATGAGAGCAGGATTATAGCTTTAACACACCAGTTAAAAGGTATTAAGTTTGCTTATTATTAACCTAAGATGTAATTGAAAACTGAGAAGTGGAAGGGTGATGTTCTTTTTGTAAATTATTTTTGAGTAGACTCAAATACCAGCAGGAATCCTCATGAGCACAGGGCGGAGACATGTGGATAAAGAGGCCTGTTTTCTAAAACCCTATTAACATTTAGAGCACATTGTTTTGGCAAGTCACATGCTGAGTTATGACTCCAAAGTTATGGTTCTAAAAAAATAAGTCCTGACAGGCGTAATGAAAGCAACGCTAAACAGCAGCGGGTTACAAAGACAGGAATAAATGAAAGAAGAGAGGAAGAAAAAATTCATAAATAACCGAAAGCAAATAAATATAAACACAGGACGTGATGAACTGCTATCAGCCTGGCCTCAAATAATTACTCTGTAATGAATTAATCTACAGTACAAGTTTCCAGTGTTTTAAAATGCTGATGAGTTTCCAGTGAATTAAATTACAAACTATTGTTAACAAATCCGACATAATCACTATCAATAAATAAAGCAGACTCACACACAACTGGAGCAGTGCAGAAATGAATCAAAGAAATGAATGCTGATATGAAACGTGAAGGTTTGTAAAGGACCGATAATCTCAATCACCACCTCAGCGTCACGCGTGGTATTTATCTCATGTTTCATGTAATAAATATGGTTTTAATTCCACAAGTGAAATATTGAGGTGTAAATAAGAATTCTTAATCTGCTCATTCAAGGGTGAAGATCCTTATCCCTGGCCCATGTTTTCAAGCTACCCTCCACCTCGCTGCTACTCCTCAGACCCACCAAGGATCCTCCAGCGCTCACAGGGTCAGAGAAATGTTGATGATGCCGATGTTAACACGTGCATTGGGATTTTTTTCTTTTTCACCCATAGTTTCCTTTCACTGTTGACAGAGTCTGAGATCAGTGCATTCCTGGCATCGCCAGTAGACACAACGAGTGAGGACGGATGGATGGTGGCCTGTCGTCATCACTACTGCAGAGTCATGACCTCCAATCCCAGCATCATAACTGGAGAGGGTGAGCTACAAATGGATGTTGTCCATTCTCTTGCAATCATTACGTTGCATTTAAGAAAATAAAGGCTTAGAAATAACTGAAATGAAGGATTGTAGTTGTAGATAAGAACTAAATGCGAGGGCAATTGTTTTGTATTTTCAAGGATATGCAGAATGTGAAATATCTGTCACGTAACGATATAAATGTTTAATCACCTTAGATAAAAATACATTTTTATATATACTCCATAAAAAGCCACTTGTAATAATGTGCGTAGGAATAATAATGGGAGTTACAAAAATGCAGGTGCACCGTCCGCACCTCCTCACCAACATTACGTTAATGTAAAATCCATTCAGAACTCATCACCGCTATTGACGGCCACTATAAAACGACACTAATGCCTACTTTCCCACGTAGGAGTAAATGGCTGTGATTCAAGGAGGAAAAATACATTTAAATGAAGGAGGGCCGACAATCTTGTCATTAATGCATGCACTGTACAGTGATTGCTTCCTTTCATCAGTACACTGTTATACTCAGCCTGTGAAAGCCTCCGTACTCTGCTCCACAGAGCTCATTTAGGGCTTTTCACAGGAAGGCTATGATCAAGATTTATTTACTTGGCACATCATTAATTATGCAAAACCTGGCACTCTACTTTTGAGAAACATTCACAGGTGGAAATTGTAGCATTTATAGACTGACTACTAAATTAAGCGAACTTCCTCTGCAGTTTATTGGACATTTACTTAAGTTTAGCTCTGCGGAGGAAGATGCTGTGATTAACGCTTGTGTCTTCCATTCAGCTGCAAGACAAAAAATGATTAACTATACTATCTCTTCATCCAAACACTCTGATTAGAACTGTGTACATGTTCAATACCTCCTATCTCCTCAGCCTATTGATTGCTTAATTGGTCTTCCTCAACAGCATGTCGATCGGATGCTTTCACAGGAGCTCAGACTCACAGAATTGCATTCTGGGTCATGCTGGAAGTTGTGACCAGCACACTGGGTTTTATAAACCGGTGCCTTGTGTAATGATTGCTGCTCTGGTGTGTTTCCACGGGGATTCATTACTTCATTGCATGTGAAGCAGGACTTCAAACATCCTATTTCACTTAGCTTATCTTCCTCTATGGACACTGGAGCCCTTCGACTATAGGGCCAGATAAGATCCCATTTAATCAGCTGTAACTGTGTCTGAGCCAAGAGCAGTTGCTGAGTAGGAAGAGGATATCAATGGGCACTGACAAGCAGTTACACATGAATGAGTCTTGTAGAACTGTCACTGAATCATATACATAATTATTGAACTGTAAAAAGAGTTGAGCGCTTATGGCTCAATGACATGGACCATCATAAACTAGATGAATAAATACAACTGTACAATTTCATATATGACGGTGCTTTGTGTAAGATTCAGTAAGATTTGACGAATCATCATTGAATCATTTCATTAATAATCACAGCTAAATTAAATTAATACATTATACAAACAAAGTATTGAGTTGATTCTGGGATATAACTTCAATTATGCAGCTAAAGAAGTCATTTCAGCTATTTTATATACACTAACACGTTTTATACATTATACCGGACATCAGTCAAGACAATACTTGTTCAGTAATATTTCAAATATCCATTAAAGCAAATGATATTAATATTGACTGTTGACTGTCTATGAAACAAAGCTCAAGTCAATAGAGGCAGACTCTTACAGAAATTAAAACCGGTCCTGTAGCGTCTTAGCTTTGCTCCTGGGCCACTGTAGTGGGAGAGACTAGCACTGTATTATATTTAATACCTTCACAGGCACCCAAGGGTTTCCTTCTATTTCCACAATTAGGTCTACAGTGCCTGCGGGTGGTTTTCTTTGCATAGCAATGTGATACGACACTAAAAGCAATGCTGTTTACTCAAGCTCTTGCAGCTGAAGCGTGATCTTCTGCATCAGGTACTTTTCCATCCTTGATGTAACGCTGCCACGTTTTTTAAACGGCCTATACAGAGAGAGGACGTGTTGGTTAGTTTGATGTATCAGTGAATTTACCTTGGACACAGTTATTTACTGCAGCTGTTTGGAGCATACATTTTAAGGTACACGTCTGTTTTTTTCTCCTCAGTGCTCGCTGACCTTCTGGACAAGGTTGTTGCCCGTCTATCCAGCTCCTCCACAGAGCGCTTCTTCTCTCCAGCTGAGTACAAAGGTCAGTGGAGAAGAGCAACACATTCCGTTTTTTCATTAACAATTTAGACATAGAAACGACGTGCCGTGCCTCAGTGGACTAAGCCACATGCTTAGCGTTTGGAACATAAATCTAACTTCTGTATTTGTCTTCTGTTTTGCTGTACTGGAATATAAAAGTGTCATTGAAATAATTGTTTTGGACGAAAGGATTAGAAAGTACAGTTTAAACCATCACATTATTTATAGTTGATACTGTTGGAACTGTGTCTCAGTCCACATTAAATGTGGAGGGAGGTTGACCCAGCAGGTCTTTACCTCAGGGTTCAGCAGGTCTTTACTTCAGGGTTCTGCAGAGTCCAGCGGCAGGTCTTTACTCACAATTTCAAGCTACAACCAGCGTCACCACTGGACAAGCACACCGTCCATTCCAAACAGGCAGGTCAAGAAACAATTTCTTACACAGATTATAAAAACCTTCAGAGGAAAACTGTGTGGTTTGCAAGTTTAATCCATAAAAACCAGATTTGACTAACATGACCTGACCCTGACTGCACGGTCCTTAACTCTACCTACAGATGAAGTTTTCCTACACTGCAAGGTTAAGGGTAGTCGAGCCTTTCCAGCTTTGTCAGCTCAAGGGACTCCTGAATCAGCACACTGGTATCGGGAGGTCTGAAGGACTTAAAGCTTCTGGCAAAATGTCAGATGACTCAGAAGGAAGGGTTTTGGCAGGAGAAGAAAACTGTGGATATCTCTGGTGGCGGTCATTGAGGTGGTTTGAAAGCTCAGCATATCAGCACAGAGGGTGGTAGAGAGTTGTTGAAGCTTCTGAATACTGTTGGGCTGTTCTTGTTGACACTACTTCAGTGTGATGTGGAGGTTGGATATCGTCTCTGCGGACAGGCTGAAACTTACATTCTAGATCAGTTTTTACCGCAGGATAAAATTTGTTATGTTTCCCAAATCAAGCAGGTTAATAATTTAAGATGGCCGGCTTGTTTGGTAGCCAGTGGGATTAAAAAAAACCTGAGCACACCGGCAGCAACCAGAGAGAAATGCTGCTAATTAGTGAACACCCACCTTGTAAATCCTCCTAAAGGAAATGAAATGCTAATAGTTAACATGTTTTTTTACTGAATGCAGTGACGACATATTGAGCCTTTTACCTGGAAAACTATTTTTGTTTTTGTGCTCACCTGGCTAAACACTGGGATATTGAGACGTAGCAGTGGCACGAAATGTGCTCTCTTTGTCTCGAACCACACAGTTTGGTCAGGCAGGTGGAATAAATGAGATTGCTGGACACTTGACTTCTGGACTCGTGGCCGTGAAGGGTGAAGAGATACAACCGAGAACACTGAACTGACAGAGGTTAATACTTGGCAAATGAGTCTGCTCTCTGCGAACAATGGGAGCACTCGAGGAAGGGCGGAGAGACTGAGACTGTATAGGCAGCGTCAAAACGTCAATCAAACATACAGAGGCCACCTCACACACACACACACACACACACATGTGCTACATGTAACTGGCGTATTGAAGAATTCAACAAGAGCTATGACAGCTCCCTGGTCTCCTCAGAAGCTATTAGATGGGAGGAATATTAGATGGCGATGTAATAGTTGTGTGTTGGTGTGTGTCTGTGTGCGTGCATGTGTGAAATAGAAATGGAACCTTCATTTTAAAGCAACACAGAGAGAGAGAGACCAATGATAACGTGTGATGTCGGAGCTCTGGGTACTGAAACAAATCACTTACACGAGACGACTCGTTGCATGTTCTCTCTTATCGAAGATTATTTGTCTTTTACGTGATCATCACCGCTTCATTTTGGGGGTTTTTTCACCTTCACTGTGCAGAATGAATGGAATATTTGTTATGTTATAAATACAGTAAGATAATTCTGTGCAAACGTTGGAAACCAAAACAGTCGTGACCGGTTTGTAAGGTTGAATTGTTAAATTGTCTGTTGCTTACACACGAAAACAAGCTCCTCAAGTCATACTCATCATGATTTATGATATATATTATTGGTTTTAGAAACAGCACAATTTAAACAGTCTGCTCGGACAAGATGCCACGAGGGCAACAGCTTTACTTTAGTTTAGTTTTGCTTTGTGCTCAGACCCTTTAATGAGTTTTAATGACAGGAAACTGGTGAATCATCCCTTCATTTTGTTTGATTGCTTTTTAACGCACACATTATTAGTATTTCAGAGTAGTTATGCTGTGAGTGTGTGTGAATGGGAACATGTCATGTAGTGTTTGAGTGGTCCATTAGACTAGAAAAGCATTAAATAGATGCAGTCTGTTTACCATTTAGTGGAAGTGCACTTGCTGGTTTCAGTTCAATACAATTAATTTTCAAAGGTTTATATTTAATGTAAAACAGAGACTCTGTGTTTAATTGTGTGTGTGTGTGTGTGATTTACCAGTCGCATTAGACTCATGCACTTTCTTTTTTGTAAAATGACAAAATTAATGACATTTTTCAGCTCGAGCAAATTTGTAATATTCATTTACATCTGGATTCAAAAATATCTTATATTTTGACACTAATAATATTGTCATCGTGTTGGAAACAAGCTACTGCCACAGGCAAGGCATTTGCATAAAAGTAAATTAAATGGAAAGAGTGAAATTAAATTTAAAGTGCCATAGTAATTTCTGTAATGTGTTTAGTGCTGAGCAAGGTGCTACTTTTCAGAGAGCGACGAGGACAACACAGTAAAGCCCCAGCGATATGGACTTTAGGGGGCTGATGCAGGTTCCTAAGATGTTGTGATTGAACCCTTATGGCAAAGAAATGTAATAAATGTTTGATATTTATTATAAATCAAAGACATAAACAAAGTAATCGGTGACCACGTCATCTTTCCTGACAGTGTTAGAGGTAGACGTTATGAATGAATGGTGGATAATGAGCTGTTTTAAAACCCGCTGCAGTGTTTACAGGCCTGCAGCTGAACAGTTGTTGCACCATATTGTGATGAAGTTTGTTCGGAGGCTCTCTGTCATCCTGAATCATGAAGCTGAACAGGAGCTGAGGGGAGAAGTGGGTTTTCTTCAGGAAGTGGAGTCTACTGGAGTCTTATTTAGAACAGAGGAGGTGTTAATGGACTAAGATGTGAAAACACCCAGCAGCTGTGGACCTCCACCTGGATGTTCGTAGATGTGTGTGTCAGCAGCGTTTAGACTTCCTGAAGTTCACTCCAGCTCTCTGGTCTTGCTGATTGGTGCCAGGTTTGTGCAGATTGTGCAGGCTCCCCGTAGACGTGTGCTCATCTTGCAGGATTTCCCCTTAATGTGTCTGATAACAATGACTCGCTCTCCTATAAGCCGTCAATTCTGCAGGCTTCTTCATTTTCAAGATTCTCATTTATTATTCTCGCACAGAGGACTCGAGAGATTCTGGAAACCGAATCGACTCAGAGCCGCGGATTCACGATATTACTCCTCATAACTCTCACTCGCTTTGCTCGGCAATCGAGAACAGATTGTCCCAACAAATGTCAGAGATGCATCGCAGGTGCCACCTTTCAACTGTGGCCCTTTCAAACTAAAGTTAAATGGTCGCGATTATAGTTATTGCAAACTGGAAAATAGACTCCGGTGGCACAGGAAGACAGGAAGAGGGAGGAAGGGGGAGGCACGAAATAAATACAACAAGAAGGCATTCATCTTCATTAGACAGTAATTGCCATCAGCAGGAGGTTTTTAGAGATGTTAATATGTGAGGAGAGAGGATATACAGAGCTACATGTCCTGGTGGGACTTCATGCCCTCACCCAAAAGCTATTTTCTCTCAATTAATATGAGATTCGATGCCCTGTTATTAATCTGAATCGCCCAGCTTTGATTTTCCGCGGCTAACAATGTTGAATTATCACTTCGATATGTAGATTACAGCCACCGCATTATCATCTCCCCTCGCACATTTCTGCACCATTAGTCTGTAAATTGGATTTGAAGTTTTCCCAGCCACAGAAGCTGCCTGGATAATACTTCTCCTCATAATCTCCACACAAACTGTCTGAAGCAGGAGATCCATTACACAAAATATAATAACACTCCGTTTCCCCCCCAAAGCCAGTGAGCAGCGGAAAACACGTCCCAAAACAAAATATCACTCCTCCCGCAGTTATTGCTTCATTCATCGTTGTCTCCACACAATTACAACTGGAAATCCAAAAGCTAATATATTTTTATGATTCTTCACACACTTAATGGTGCTAAGTAAGAGCCCATGAGAGCAGCTGGAGAGGGATAGCTCAACAGTCTTTACAAAGCTCTGGCATGTGGATCTAAAGCTGCACTGCTCCAGCACTTTCAGCACAGTAGGACCCAACTGCAGAGGCCTTAAGCTTGGAGATAAAAAGCTTTCTCACACGGCTCAAAAGTTCACGCTGTAAATTTTTTTTGTTCTCTCCAAAACTCATTACACTCCTAAAATCGTGAGTTACGACTCCACAAAACCCCGCTGTAAAATGACTAATGGCTGACCATTAGTGAAATTACCACCTTGATACCACGCTGCCCTGCAAACATCACAATTAAACGCCAAACCACTGCTGTAAAACTGGCAGCGACAACATTAATTAGCGCGACATCACATCTGTTGCACCCTGAAAGTCGCAAGTCATGATGCGTTGTCATGTTTTTCCGATTCTCCCCTGGCCGAGACCTCAGTGAAACCTCCATCCACATCTCCTCTGCCGCTTGATAATAACTACCTCTCACTTTTAATTGCCTTGTTTTACAGCGGAGGAGAAGAGAGTGAGGGATGAGGTGTTATCGTCTGTGGAACAGCTGGGAATCAACACATGTGTCAGGTATGTGAAGTGTCTGTAGCTCATAAACATATGTTTATCACGACAACTGTAGCAGCCAGGTGAGAAAACTATCTCTGGTTTCTTTAGTAACCTCTGTTATGTTTTCACCACTGTTTGCCAGTTTGTTTGATTATGAGCGAGATAATACAAAATCAACTGAACAGATTTCCATGAAACTTGGTGGAAGGATGTTTTATGGGTCAAGGAACGATTTGAAATGTTGGTGTGGATCCAGGACTTCTTCTTCACTTTAACATTCTGTCTTTAAACTTGCCAGATCGGGCAGTTTCCACCGATTTCCCAGTGAATAATTGATGAAATCCGGCATATTTTAGGGGACTGACATTTTTTGATGATATTTTTTTTGCTTCAGTTTGATACTGGAAAATATGAATGTTTAAAAAAAGCATGTGTCATGTTTTCATGCAGCGGCAGCGTATTTATTGTCTAGATTTATCGCGCACATTGATTTATATTTCATAATTAGGCATCGATCAGCGTGGAGTGAGCTCTAATCAGTTGTTTGCAAACCTCCGTCTCCTCCACTCGTTTCTAAGTGAAGACGAGAGTTGTCGTCATGTTAGCGTTTCTCACAGTGACAACAACAGCAGGTGTGATGTTTACGGTCCTCTTCGTCTTAGTTCATCTTGTTAACGTGCTAACATTCGGTGATTAGCACTAAACACAAAGTGCAGTCACTGGTGATTACAGCAACATTTACAAATCTGATTACACACAAACACATTTACAGTTTTCAGATTTAATCACACATCTGCGGTTTCTTTCACACACGTTTTACAATCTGATTATGAACACACAAAGATTAAGATCATTGAGATACACACACACACACACAAACAGAAACTATTGGTACAATATTGGCGCCATAACTCTCACTTGAGTGATTTTATTTTGTAAATCTTAAAGTCAAGTTTCCAATATTTCCACATTATGGTGATTTTTAGAACTTTTTCTGAAAATCTGAGACTGTTCTCTACTTAATTCTGTCAGACTTCCCTGAATCTAATTGTGGATTCAGGACAGAGCCACAGCGATGCTCCACCATTAACCTACATTCAAACCTCTGCGTCCGTCTTTCAGTCAGCTCATGAGCTTAAGTTAAAAAAAAGGGGGGAAGGTCATTGCCAAAGAAAAAGAGAAAACTCTTCTCCCGCACAGGCAGGAAACTTAAAAGCAGTGCTGCAACAAGCAGTGGCGTTCGCTGTTTCCTAAATCAGCTGTTGTCTGAAGGACACAGCCCACAAAGGCTTGTCCTCTGTCCTTAGCCCAGCTGCTGAAAGCCCAGATGAGACGTCCGTCCACACCTTGTGTACATTTAAGTCCACGTTGACTGTAGTTGCTTTAAGCATCAGAAAACACAAGCATGCATGAGTGTATAGACCTTCACACCTGACAAAGGTGCAGTGTAAGTGTCGATCTGCGTTCACTTTAATGAAGCCACTGTGCACAATGCTCTCCTCTGTCTGTTCCTCCTGTTTCCATAAGTAGGCCCCCTGTCTAGTGTTACTGTTCTCACTCTGCTCGTTTCTGTCTTTAAGGACGCCCCGCTGCTACATTACATAGTGGATGAAACTCCTTCGACGCCTTCCCCCGAAGGAGCTTTGTAGCTGAAGGGTTTCAGAACGTGTTTCAGAAAAAGTGTCATGTTCGCAGTTTTTGCGTCAATATAACACAGCATGAGAGCGTTACACTCAGAGCACTGTGTCTTCTCGGATTAAATTTCGTGAGACATAAAATTTGGAATTAATCCGTGACTTTACAAGTGTCAGATCTGTTCAGCGAAACCTGACTTGTTGAATGTAGTTTTGACAGCTCCGTCTGGGTATTTGCACGAGGCCTCGGCGTTTCCTTGTCTCTCCGTTCAGTGATATAAACTCAACACACACTTTTCTGGTCCGTGTCAGATGCACACGTTTGCCGTGAATCTCAGGGATTTATTTTTCATCTGGTGACAGGGCAGAGCTTCCTGCAGCTCATTGATCTCATTGTCACGTTCATGAGACCAGTCTGTGAAATCTCTTGCTTCGTGTCATGGAGCGTTCTCATGGAAGGAGCCGTTAGAAAACAGATTTTGAGGCGTTTTCAGAAATCATTCGAACCATGATTGATGAAGAGGCCACCACCACCACCACCACCACCACCACCATTCTGAACTGTTGACACAAGGCAGGTTGAGTCCTTGGATTCAGGCTGTTGATGCCAAAGTCCGACCCAACCATCTGCAGCCTCATCAAAAACTCAGATTAATCAGACCAGGCTTCTTTTTTTTTCGCCTTTAGTTTTCCAGTTTTGGTGAATGTGTTTCCTCTACAGCCTCAGATTTCTGTTCTTGGCAGCCGATGTGGTTTTGTGCTGAAACCTCGAGGTTGGACGTGTTCTGAGAAGCTTCTCTGCTCACCACAGTTGTAGAGAGTTTAGTTATCTTAGTGACCTAAAGTAGCGTCTGCTCTGTCTCGTTTCCACAGATACAGCAGATACCTCAAGCTGCTCAACGATGATGACGCTGTGCACGACTTGACGCTGCTAACGAAGCACCTAAAGATCTTCTTGTCCTCACAGAGAATTAAAACTTCTTCAGAGCTCAGTATCCTTTTCCTTTTCGATTTGTATATTTTACTCGCCCATTTTGCAAATGTGTTAATAATTGAATTAATTGTTTATCCCCATTAAACCTCTAGATACTTTAAGTAGTTTACAGTCAAGTGGGAAACCCTAAACAAAATGCTGATCTTTGAGGGGAGAGTTTAACTTTGACAGTATTTCCAGAGTTTATTCAGTGATGCTAAATGAAAACACTCTCATTCTGCTTTATTTATTATTCTTAATCATTACAAGTGATGTGTTGACAGAGTGTGTTATTAATAGATGAGGCTTGTCTGTCAATCAGTTTCAAAGAGCACGTATGTGATGTTTCACTGGATGTGTTCGTTATCGAGGGTTTAGACTCATCGTCTCATTTACAGAAGATCCACCGACGACGGCTTTCCAGAACTTTAAACTGCTGAGAGACGATTAAGTAATAAACTGCATGTTGTTAATTCAGAAGACATATGAAGGTGTAAGGTGGTTCTCTTGATTAAAACTGTTTCTGTTTAAAATTAGGGTCCTTTACAGTCCACACTCTGTTTTATATATTCCCAATGAACCACTTTCATGTTTATTTGACATTGTTGTGCGTCTGAATTTGTCCTTTCGGCTCTTTAACTCTGTCCGCCAGTCACTCAGCAGGATTGTTACCCAGGCCACGACTGGCTGGCCTCCACGGTTTTCCTCATCATGGCTGGAGATCCGGAGCGATCTCTGCGTTTGTTGCTCGGCCTCTCCTCTCTGCTTACCTCCGCATTCATCTGGCCTGCAGGGATACATGCATCTGTGAGTATAATGGCATGCAAATACAGAAACAGCACAATGAGTTTAGACGCAGACAAAAAAGGACTTAGCGAGGGGTTGAAATTTGCAGTAGTGTTGCACCATAGAAGGAAAAATCAAATGGTAGCAGGTTTGAAAGACTTTAATACCCACAGAGTCACATATCAATCTCTTGAATCCTAATATTGACAGACAATGCCACTAGTTACTCAGTTCAACTCTTGAATGATTTAGCTATTTGTGTTTCAAAGGCCATATCTCCCACGCAACGCTTTATATATTCACGTAAACCTCCTTAAATTAAAGATGAGACTTGGACTTTGATGTAGTGTCTATGATTTTATTTTAAAAGAGCCTGAAAGACGTAAGGACCCCCAACCTATGATTTAAATGATCCTGCTCATATGTGAAATGCTCCTTTTAAAAATCCTCATTGAATCCCACCTCTTCCACATCCATCATTTCAACCATAACTGCAAAGAAAACCCCGACGAATGAAGCTGGTGATGAATCGTAACAATATTTATTCACACGACTTGAGGCCGCGTTGTCATTTTTCAATATGATGCAAAACAAACAGGATGTTATTTTGCTGGGCTGAGAAAGACGAGCGAGACCGAGATAGAGACAAATGAGTGGTGGGGGGAAAAAAAGTCAAATGAATAGTTCGACTGAGGGGAAGAAGTGAAAGTCTATTTTCAATTGGTCCAAATTGCAGGGGGGAGAACCGAGGTGCTGAGATGAAGTTTTACTCTCATTATACCCACCTCTGTCATCTTGCTGTCTCTGTAGTCTCAATCAATTACGTCTCAATTGGACTCGGCTGAACGTGTGTTTGCGATGCAGCTGGTGAACGTCCCCACACGGCAGTTACCCTCCATCTACACGGCGTGGTCGATTTGGTCAATAGTGCAGAAAACAGAAAGGGCACAAATAATTAAGAGGCAGAGGCAAAATATAGGAGGACGAGGGCGTTGTTGACACACACACACACAGACAAAGCTGTTTCTGTTTGCATTACTCAGGATGAAGGTTGTGTCATAAAGTCAGAGCTGTTTTATTTTTATTTAACGTTTTCATTTCCATTGTTTCTTCCACTAAGAATCCACAAATATCGAACATCATTTACATTTTACATCTATCTCAATAAATCCAGCAGTATTTCCAAGATCAAGATGAAATGCCTTGTGTTTTGCGGTGACAGGTGCACGTTCCTGTGGAGGCCGCTGAGTCAGGAATCCCTCCTGTCTACTGGTGCACGGCTCATTACGTGGAAATGCTGCTGAAAGTCGAGGTTCCTCTGGTCCACTCGGCGTTCAGGATGTCTGGTTTCACCCCGTCACAGGTATCATCTTTAGAGAACCAGACAAACACCTCAATAAACGATGTGGGGCGTTTCTATCGCGCTGTTGTTTAAATGTACAGAAGGAAATAAAGAAGATAGAGTGCGGCCCAGAAAGGCTGTTCAGAGGATGCATCAATTTTAAAGGTTTATGGGTAAATATTGTATTTTCGAGTACGTGCTATCGGATGTCGATGTGTTTCTATCGTCAGTCTTAAGCCAAGAGTTCATTTACATGAGATGTAATGGGTTTGAGAAATTCCACACCGTTGTCACATCTTCTAAGTAAGTTTGAAGAAATACTTTGGATTCACAGAGGATTTTTATTGGGTCACTCCATGAAGATTTCTCTCTGCGTTATTGTGTCAAGCTTTGTAAGAATTGTGCAGCTAAACCCGATGCATTATTCAAACAGGAATCAACGCTCACGGAAAGTTGGACCGAAGTTTGAAGTCAATAGTTTGTGTCTAGACTGCTGGCAGTTAGCTTTGATCAAATATTTAAATCTTGCTTTTTGTAATAATTTCCATTTTCTGAGCCTCTTAGATCAACACAGTGCATCGACTGCTAATGGAGGGAATAAAGAGAAGTGAACATTTCATCACCGACAACACAGAGAAAGACATCAGTCCATTTTCTGTTTGTTGCCGTTTTAATATTTAATCAATGGCGTCAACGAGACCAAAAGCAGGTTAAGCAACTTTTATTAGCACAGTGTTTGTTGCTCTGTGAAATATTTCTCTTTTTATTCTGCTTTGAATTCATTTTAATGTAAAATAACAAAATCCAGCCCTGACATTTAATCAGTTTTCTCTTTTTATTACACAGCAGTCAGATATTTGCTCCTCTGCACTCTGTATTCTTCTCTCACACCGAGGTAGAGAAAACGTTTTTCACCTTGAATCCTCTTATGTTTCATCCTGTCTTCTTTGTGTCGGCATTTGACAATTGAGGCTCGCGCATTGTACGGCGGCGAGGATGCTTATAAGACTCGCCACATTAGCATCAAAGATCTGAACTTGCCGTCTCCGGGGTGCAGCAGTGAGTTAACATTCAGCTCAGCACTTTGCTCTTCAAGGCGATAATCGGCACCTGGTCTTCAGTCGGTGAAGGAAATATCTATTCTGAGTTTTTGAAAGTCTGACAAAGCAGCAGTGGAAAAATGGAGCATTATTCACCAGATGTTTAAAAATCCCAGACAGTCAGACTATTTGACAAAAGGAGTGTGTGACATGGAGGATAAATAAGCCGAGCCAGGGGAAGAATCCTGTGTGCAGCTCGGGTCTTGAATAGGAAAACGCTTTTAATCAGGTGTTTGTGGTCCTCATTCATTCTCCACACTGAGCTTCGACAATTCTTTACATCACTTAACAGTCAAAGGTTTTCATCCACTAACTCAAAGAGTCAATTATAATTCAGCCAATGAATAAGTTTAGGTGAAGGTTTTAATTCCCGATTGTTGTCTTAATGAATCATTTCTTCCCTCAGTTTCTAACATTTCAAATCACACAGATATTCAAGAATAACAACATTGAGTAATGTCTGAGAACATTCAGTGTTCCACACACACAGAGGCAGAGTCTCCGGCTGCTGTGACCTGACCTGCTCAGATTAGTCACAGCTCTAATAGCCTGTTTATAACGGAATGGGAATAAAGTAAAGAATACTGAGAGGAAACACCGTCACGCTCACCTGTGGCCGCTGAGCTTTAACTCTCAGGAACAACAACGACAGAGAAAAGCACTTTCAGAAAAGAGCTGCACCTAGAAACACCTCAGGGAGAGAGAGAGAAAGTGCAGTAACACAAATTAACGTGTTGTATTGTCGTTACATACGAGCTGAGAAGGCGGGGGGGGGGGTAATCCAATATGTTTGTATGTTTGAGCAGACGTGTGTCATCAGTGAACACAGTGGATAATTATTTCCATGACAATTAGTTGAAACCCAGCGTGTGCCCTGGGTGCTGTCTGCAGAATGATTGGAAAGCAGAATACGAGGGCGTGAAGCTCCATCAAATTCAAAGCTGCTGATTGTAGTGAAATCATAATCTGGAACAGCAGAGATCCGCCAAAACCAGAAGTAGATTCTACCGAGCATGACGCAGTTAACAAATGCTGCTTCCCTCCGAGGCTCTTCACTCCGAGCACGTGAGCAACTTTCACCGTGTTGTGTTTTTACTGCACTTTCTACCAGCACAGCCGACGTGAAGGGAACCTCCACTGTGTTCCCTAAAGGAAGAACAACGACTTTCTATTCTTAACCTGCCTGTTTGGAATAGGCATGGTTTGTTTGGCCTGTGTTTAGCTTTCTTTTTTAAAACTGTAAAAAGTTACTTGCAGTAATTAAGTCGTGGTAAATAAAGATCCGCTGCTGGACACGGTCCACAGAAGCCCGAAGTCGCCGCCGCCGCAGCTGTTCACCTGTTTATTCAAAGTTCAGTGAAGCTCAGCTCAGTTTGTAAAACCTTGTTCTGGAGAATCAGTTGCTGTCGTTGTCATGAACAAGCTGCTCAACTATCATCATAATTGAATGTGTCTTAAAATACACATGCCAAGTGTGAACTTGATAAAATGATAACTGTGACTCTCTTGATTTGAATTCTTGGTATTAAGTAGGGAACTTGGCAATTGTAATAATAACAGATTGAAGCTCAGTCCCTCAAAGACTCTTTGCCTTGAATTTCACCCCGATGTTTAAGCATGTGAGTTATTTCAACATGTTTCTAGAGAGATTGTTCTGGAGAAGCCGATGAGGCAGAGTCAGCAGGTTGAGTAAATAAATCGTAAAACTTCAGACACACTCTTAAAGAACAGAGCATCTCCCCTGTTAATGTAATTGAACCATTCTTTTATCTGGCAGGTTTATGAGCAACTCAGTCTTGTCCATAAACCTTTAATGTGAAAATGTACACATTAGTAAAACTTGACATGAATTTCACTTTAGAGCACAAGCTGTGTTTTATCATGTTTCCATGTGAACAACGCTTGACGATTAACAGCACACTGCTAATGAGGCGAGAAGGTTTTTCTTTTAAATCCTAAATCTAATTGGTCCTCCGTGGAATATACAATTTAAAAACTGGCACCCGTCTGCATTACCATCCACCGCATCCCAGCTTGTGTGTGTGTGTGTGTGTGTCTGTGTTTGTGTGTCCACCGACTCTGCATCTGGAGCGTTTAGGGCTCAGCTATCTTTACGCACCAGGTTTACTTCTCTGGTCCGACTTGTGTCTCTGAGGCGTGAAATTCACTTGCGAATGTATTAAAATTCTTATATTTATTGCCAGTTGACTTGCAATGAATTTTTAATGATGCATTTCATTTGTTTCTGAACACACGGGCGATACACAAGTCGCTGAGCTGCAGATACGATCATTTTCTGAACACGACAAAAAACACACAGCAGTGCTGCAACATCGATTATATGGAGGAGTGATACAGAGAAAGTTAGAGGCAACAAACCACAGCATCATTTCCTGCATCTTAACAAGCTGTAAATGTGTATTTGAACTTGTTACTCATGCAAAATGTTCAGGAAGACTTCAGACTATATTAGAAATACGACGACTAAACAAAAAACTCTTGGATTATTATGAGTCATCGTTTCTTTGCCCTGTATTAGATGCAGCTCATTGAGACTCGGCCTCAGAGAAGTTTGTAAAACCTGAGTGTAAACATCTTTCTCTCCACAGATGTGCCTCCACTGGCTGACGCAGTGTTTCTGGAACTATCTGGACTGGACAGAAATCTGCCACTACGTTTCCACCTGTGTGGTGATGGGTCCCGACTACCAGGTTTACCTGTGCGTCGCCATTTTCAAACACCTGCAGCCAGAGATCCTGCAGCACACTCAGTCCCAGGAGCTGCAGATCTTCCTCAAGGTGAGACTTTGCATCAGAATAATTTTTAACAGAACTATGAGCTACTGCAGCTACTTTGTGATTTGGGCTCAAACATCTACATTTCTTTAAGTGCAGAGTTCTGCAGTCGCTGCTGTAAAACTCTTTTAAATCTGCCAGTCATCCGTGATTCACCTCCGTTATGAATAAAAGAATTTGTCCGCTAAAACCTCCTCCTATGTTGTGTTCTGCACCCTCCCCCGCCCCTCAAAAAAAGAAAAAGAAGCCTGTTCTAGAAGTTTTACGTTTCCCTGAAATAAGTTTTGCTCGTTGAATTGGGTGAAAGCTGAAGTGTGGAGTGGCCCCAAGGATTTCACACAAGGTCTAAAGTCAAAGTCTGATAGATGTCGACTATCACTAATGTCCCAGGCAACATTAAACGACAGGATTGTGAGTGAGACAAGGCTTGACATGAAGCACTCATCGTCATTACTCATTAAGCATCTCAGACCGTCTTGTCTCCGCCTGATAGCTCTGGTATTAACATCGCCATGAGCCACCACTGACAGTTTTTGTGAATAAAAGATCAGTTATTGAGGCTTTATCTGAGGAAGTTCCTCTAATGAGCCGTAGCATCAGATACCGCAGCGTGAGACAGCTGTGAGACGGAGTGTGTTTGTGTGCGCGTCTGTGGGAGAGAGGAACTTTCAACCATCCTCGTCCTGAGCCGAACCGTTCAAAGTTTTAGACGCGCCGGTTTGCGTCTGACAACCTCATCGTCCTCTCCGCTGTGTCTCTGTGTGGGAACAACGAAGTGTTTTAATCAGACAGACGTGGTGACAGAGGGTTTTTTAAACATTCACACCCTCACACACACACACACACTCACCCCTCGACATGTATCCTGTCTCACAAGGGGGTATATCTATATTTCATCTAAATTAAAATTTGAAAAGGCAAATGACTTGTTGCCATCGCTCTGAGTCTGATGAGAGTTTAATAGTGGAGAAGCCTAAGTGGTGAGATTGAAGTTGTCAGAAAAAGGGAGTGTTATGTGCCGACAGGAGGTTAAATGAAACCACAGAGCGAAAGAATAAAAGCATTCATTATCACTGCCCTTTAATAAGAGCCAAAACAAATACCTGTATGACATAATGATGAATAATACATACGATACATTGAGCCATGTTTGTCAAAACTATAAATACATAAACTTTAAATAAAATGAAAATACAACCAAATATATAGAGCTTGAATTAAGAACATAAACATCAGCACATATCAGCAAACACTACTGCTGATACCAACATGTCTAAATGTCTGTGAAACCCTCATACTCTACTTTCAATTGTCAGTTTTCATATTATTAATTTGGTACATGCAGTACACCACAGTTGTACTAAGTACCAGCAGTAGTAAAGTACTCTATCTCCCCTTATCCCTCCACAAAATGTCATGGAAAAAAATAACCTTCTTGACGGATGTAATTTGCTTTTAGGTATAATCTGATACGGTGCATCAAACGGTGACATTTAATATTGACAGATAATATTTCTGTGTTCTATATATGCGGTGAAGATTATGAAGTACAGCGAGCAGCTTGTGTCACAGTGTTAAAAACATCAGCACGAAGTATATTTCGTTAAACTTAATGGATCCACATTAGCAGGACTTTTAAATTCCCGTGCACTCACGTCCTTGCGTCTCTTTTTTTTTTTTTCCCTCTCAACCCTTAATTCTCCCAGAGAAGATAACAGACCAAGAATACTCTCCCAAGTGATTTATGTGGCTTATCTCCAGTCTCCTTCATGGTTTTCACAGTGTCAGCAGCCTGGTGCGATAAATGAACGGGCAGAGCAACTTTAGTTTTGATGATTCTTCAGGATTAATCTCACTCTGCAAGAATCTCAAATAAAGACTCTGACAGTCCGACTAACATCCAGCGGGAGGCTTTGTGTAGCTCTTATGTTTCGACGAGAGGAATAGTGTTCCATAAATAAAATATGGATTTAATAGCTTTAAAGTTATGTCACTGGTTCTCCTGACAATAAACCCAGACTTTATTAACTTCAGTAGATCAAACAAGTATTACACCGCAAACCTGTACTTCATAATACCCTAAATTAAGAATTAAAAGATGATTTCTGGCAAATAAAGTGTGTTTTTTGTAGTAATTTACTGTTTCCTTGAATATTGTTAAGAGCCAGAGTTCTCCATCAGCCTGAAAAACTAATTTATCTCTGACATTATGGGCTCCACACTATTTACAACCTTGAATAATAATTCAAAAAGACATTTCTCTAAATCTATTGCTTGTCTGTGTCCTTCACACAAATCTGAACTGGGGAAAATTGATCAATCAAGCTGGACATTCCCCTCCATTATGGGATCCACTGATCTAAGAGAATTAAGCTTAATTAAAGTATACTTGTACGTAGTTTATGTCTGTTAATCTTATTAATTGAAGGTTTATTTGCTCCAATGTTCAGAAAACACATCACTTTCCTCAAACTGTCAATTACTGCAGCTTTTTTTAAGCTTTGCAGAAGTTTACATTCACGACTAACCTAAATATCTCAAACCTAAAACATCTCCTTGAAGAAGGAGAGGTTAGTGTGAGTCCCAGTTCACTTTTTTAAAACCCTACTGTAAAGTCTGCGGCCACACCTGCAGCTCTGCGAGGCTGCACCAGGGAAACTCTGTCTGTTGTGGTTATTTTGAACGAGAGACCCCGAGCAGCAGAAAATGTAGTGTGTTTAAATTGCACTCCAAGTATTGACAGTGTTCTCATCGCACCGTGTCCTTGTCAGAGTTATTTACCTGCTGAAATTAGATTTCCCCCAAACACACGCTCTGCAAAGTGATGAAAGCAAATGAGGGAAGTGCTGACAAGTTGCAGGAGTCATTAAACCGTGGCGTATCTTTCAAAGCTCAGGCCTGGAGAACGACAGTCGGTGAAATCGTGGTGTTTGGCGCGTTGTTGTTATTCTGATGCACGGTGTCCTCTGCGTGCGGCGTTCCTCAGGCTACTAATTGATTTTGCCACTTGCAACATAATGCACAGCAATCACAGTTGTTTGCTCTGTTGTTTTCATTGCCCACCAGGTTGGATGTTGTCACGACAGATGCTCAGATGCTCGGGAAGCAATTATGGCAGCTGAAATTAAAATCCTGTCTGAAATAAAGCATTTTTACCTGGTCTGGACACGTGTCTCTTACACAGTGAAGAAACGACATATAACATATCTGCAATCCGGTTTTGTTGCGCCCTTTTTTTCCCCGACACGTAAAACTTCATTAACCGATGTTGTTTACTGGCATGTCGCAGAATTCGATCGCAGAGATTTAATCAGATTTTCTGTGACTTTGAAAATAGATTGAATGCAAAATACTATAATGAAAAGGGTTATATTGAATTATTCACACCTCTTAACAAAGTATGATAAGAGAGAATGCCACCTTCTTCCTGAACAGCTCAAACACTGATGTTGTGCATTTATTCTGTCTTCACATCTCGGGACACGGAGTTCAGTTTCCTCCCAGCTGTAATAACAGGAGCTTTTTATTAAAACTAATGAGCTGATGAAAGTTGCAGCAACAATCTGTTCTTTAAAAGTACCAACAAGGCAACTGAAAGTACAGAAAGTTTCCCAAGTACTTTGTAAAGTGGTACTACAGCGATTTGATACTGCACTCCGTCAAATTAGAGACACACTCAGGAGACACTGTCTGAAATCACTGCGTTACTTCTCCCGACGCAACGGACGAGCAGTCGTTGGTCTCACTTCCTACTCTACTTACAGCACGATGTCCTATTTCCCATAATGCCACATGTTTTTGTGACCCCCCCCCAGTCTCCATGTTCTGTCGTAACCTTCAAACAGGGGTCAGGGGTCATTCTCTCACACCTCTGGAGCCACAGATGACATTATACAAGTGTTCACAGAGCCTGAGTAGTAAACTGACCTTTACGTGTAAAAAAAAAAAAAAAAACTAAATCATTAGAACGAAACTTTGACTTGGTCCAGTGTTGACCTTCCGCCCCTCCCCCCCTCTACCCTACAGGAGGAGCCGATTCGGGGCTTCAAGTTCAGCAGCTACCTGGAGTTCATGGAGCGACTGGAGAGAAGCTACAGAGACATTGTTCTCACCGACATGAAAACTGTCAGAAACTTTGTAGGGTAGGAACACGTGCACACGCTCAGCACAGGAAGAACTTTATATAAAGGTGCGTCTGATCTGCCTTGACTTCCCTGAAGCTTTTCTCTGTAACTCTCTACAGGCGCTAAATGATTTTTCTCGCTGTGCTAAGTTGTACATTGGTGTGTATCATGTAAATACTTTTTTGATGTTTTTAATTGTCTGTATTTTCTTCGTGTTAACGATTTAAACATCTTTATTCCTATCTGAGAATAGATGTTGTCTGGGTTCATTCTTGTTCTAAACATTAAAACAAGTTAACGGTGACAAAGGAGAACAGATTCTCCCAACCTGTGAATCAGTAGGTTACACTGTGGAGGATTCATATATACAGAACGTTCTGTAGCACTGGTCGTCCACAGTATTAGATCCTGTGCCGCCGCGCTGCAGAGACTCAAGGTCTCGTGGCTGTGTCACAAATCATTAATGCCGGTACACGCACCGATGCATCACGCGGCCTCCTGTGTTTGTGTACTTGTGCAGGCCTTTGTATGAAAGATGCATGAGGAAGGTTGTATCATCGGGATAAACTCTCATTAGTAACCAAGGCCTTTTCTCTCTCCCTCCCTGCACGGCGGTTCTGTTGTCCCTCTTCAGACTCACCGAGGGCTGAATAATAAATGAAGTCATCAGATCACCCATCCGTCTCTCTCCCACAACTACTGCAGTTAGGCAACAGGGCACAGCAGAGCTGGTGGCTTACAGTTACAGCAGCTGATTAAATGTGTACCCTCTAAAAACGTTCAGGTCAAAGTGCATCGGACCTAAAATTGATTTATGAATCTGCATCGATCGGCCACTTTTGGCCACTTGGGGCCGGAGCTCCACAAGAGGCTGGATATCACAAATATGTTTTGAATATCACGGCCTTGTGAAGCTGTCGAAGTGGCAGAGTTAGCAAAGAGCTTCCTGTTTAGACATTCAGTGGACGTAAAGCAAGAAACCAAAACTGCATATTTGCAAGATGTAAAAATCAAAAACCTGAAGCTTTAGAGGAAAAGTTTTGTCTGACCCCTTGAACATAATCATGATTTAAAAGATTTGAATTTGGTGTCCATCATGTTTGTATACTAAGTGTATTGTTTTGTCAAAGAGGCCATTTTGTGCTGAGAGAAGATAACAAACATTTGCAGGGTTTTATTAACGTGGTATTTAAAGGTAAAATCAAAAGAGCTAAAAGGAATTTTCTCAGATTTTTCTTTGCATCCAACACATTTTTCACCTCATTGTTTTGTGGTGTGTGTGTGGATGACAGTTTAAGACCAGAGATATTTAACACCAGAATCTGCTGTAGCTCTAAAAACTCATCATGAAGCCACTCGATTTCTACAGTGACACCATTAAAACATTATTGAAAAAATAAGACAACGTAAAACTCGTACAAGAGAGATATTAAACAGCAGGTTCATCTGTCCCAGGGGCTGAAAGTCTCCTCGGCTGCTAAATAACTAAAATATCTCATATGAAACAAGCATATCAGATAAACATGCAGATGTCAGGCTGCTAACAGATAAAAAGCAATAAAAAAGTTCTAAATTTGATTCTCCAGCTGACGGATGATATAAATGTGTCTTCGCTTTAACGGACCGAGAAACAAAAACCCCTCGAGGCGAAGACTCGAGATTGTCGCCTGTCGATTCACAGGAAATATGGTAAATATGTTTTTTGGGTGTTTTTTTTCAAGTGTAGTCAAAAGAAACTTTCACACTTCTAAATAAAACCATGTTATGCACACGTGAGGTAAAGTTTTGAAGTAGATTTCCAGCTCGAGTTCAGCCCGGCCGCTCGTGTAAGTAATCAGAAAGTAAAAGCTGAAGTTCTCTTTGTCCTTAAACTCGAATCGATCGCGGTGTAGCACATCTCGTTGCAGCAGCCGTCTGTCAGAGCTCTTTCTGGAAAATCTAACGTCAGGCTGTTACCAGACGTCACTGTTTGCTCTAGTTTTCTGAGGTTGAGTGAAGCGGAGATGTGAGACGGGGGGGAGGGATATGAATCTGTGGCGAGGCTGTGCTGTGATGTGTCTCATAGAAGACATGTCTGTCAGCCGTGCACGGCTTTTTATTATTTATTTATTTTCGTTCACCAGCAGAATGAATCCACGTGGAGGCTGCTTCTATTGAGCCGAGCGCTGTGCAGAGTATATGAGAGCGGGAGATTGATTTAGTGGGGAGAGACAGTGGTGGGCTGTAATCTGTCAAAGCTGCAGAGATCTAGAAGTTTTTTTATTTTTTTTTCTTTTCTTCAGGACACTGAGGGAGAACTCGACTTTGCTGAGAGAAATGAATGTTCCCGGCCGCCGGATGGATGATCCTCGCAGCTCCAAAACAACACGCTTAGCACTTCACAAACTAAACTGTGCAAACTTCTGTGGAGTGAGGGGACATCTGACCCCTCTTCATCACACGCACAGGAACAGCCTGGCAGCGCACAGCCCCAGAGGCTGAGGGGGCAGATGACCTTTCAAAGGGAAGACAGACCGAAACGTCCGTTGTTTGAGAAAGACAAAATAATCCAGGGACAACTGTGGCACAGTAAATGGAAAGATTCATCAAAATGAAAGATGGAGGAATAGAGACGAAAGGACAAAAGGCAAAAATTGATGACGCGAATGCAAGAAAAAGAGCAGAGCAGAGACACGTCCTCTCAGGCTGCAGCGACTTGTCTCCCCGTATTAAAGAACGGGAAGTAAAACAAACCTCAATCCACCGAACTTTACCTCGTTAGTGGAGGTAACTTGGTTTCATTTAAATCACAGTTCAGTTTAGAACAACTTGCTCTTGTCCACTGGTTCTGTAATATTTTTACTTTGACAGAGGTTACCGCTGAGATCTGTGTCGTCCCTGAGGCTCGGTGTGTATCTCTGATGACTCCGGGTGATACCTGGGCTCAGCTGTAATTGCTGTTTCTTCTTAAAGTCCAGTTCTCGGTTGATAATATAAAATGGATTCGCTCTCCGAGGTCCTAATCGTTGTTTGGCTTTGGAAAAAGGAAAGTGAAGTTTCTGGAATCTACTTCTTTGCTGGTTAGACATCAGCGTCTTTTATTTTTTACCTGAAGTCAGAAATGTACTAACACTGATTAGATGAGGGATTTAAATGAACTTTAATTATATATATTCAGAAGATTTGGATTTGATATTGAATTCAGAATCATGTCTTAAAGCTAAATTACAGCTCATCAAAGTGATTTACCTCTGTGTCTATGTGACCCTCTGCTAACTTTAAAAAAAGCACTAGCTTTGATTGTAATTAGACAAAATGAGATGAAGCTGAACTCGACTCGATGGAGTTTTTGATGAGCTGTAAACTCCGCGCTGCCTCTGAGGCGGCTGATGTGCCCGCGTGAGAGTTAACAGGAGAATCAGGTCGACTGGGACTGAAGTCTGGTGCCCGCTGAGGTGCGAGCGGCTTAATGCTGGACCCTAATATATTTCCATAAAATACCTGGTTCACTAGCAGAAATAGACGGGATGGAATCCAGGAGATGAAGACCACGTAATTATGGTACAGATGAGTGGACACGCAGTTTTTCTCCACATGAAATTTGAAACCGTGCAGATGGAGCTGTAGAAGAAAAAGATGAACCTGAACTAACGCTTGAATTAATTCAAGCCTGAAATTAAACTTCTTTCTGATTCTTTTAGAGCATTTTTCTTTTTTTCCAATAGTGAACGTCAGGGTTCTAATTCTAATTCCATTCTAAAAAATTGAGTTGGAAAAGTTTTCATTTCACAGTAAAACAATTGACCCTGGAATCAAAGCATAGACGGCGAGGAACTTTTAATTCGTGGTCCCCGGAGGATACAACTGTGGTGCTGCCTGCAGGTTGACGGTTGTAAAAATAAAACATCTCCGCTGATCGATCCACTTTTCATTTACGATCGAGCAGAACTGGTCACATTCACGCATCAGCCTCGTCGAAGCCTCTGAACAAACACAAGTTAAAACCTCACGTCGCTGTTTCGTTTGACCTGCGCAGTTTATTCCACACAACCAGCCGCCCCATCAATTCTCACGTAATGGGCTGTTTATTTCCATTAGCGTTGAAAAGCTCATTATCAGCGCGGGAGGCGACTCGACCTCAGAGGGGGATCCAGTTTAGAGACGACGACGATGATGATGATGATGATGAGCCTCCACTGTATAATAATCTGTTGTGGTGTTGGTCTTGATTGTGGACTTATCAGACTGACAGCAAGCAATTTGAAACAGATAATTGTTGATAATTAAGCTGCGCGACGATCACCCCACTCCGTCACTTCCTTCCCCTCTGATTTGAATCTTTGGCTGCAACATGTGCTGCAGGAGTTGTTTCTTTCTTATCTTCCGTTCCTCGGTTTTGGTTTTGCTTCACATCGTCAGTGTGAAAAGCTTTTGTTTGCAGATTGTCTGCAGAAACCCAGTTTCAGCGGCGAGAGATGACACATTTTGATCATTGCGTGTGCACACGCTGCTGCATAGGAGCAGCTCTGTGCTTAAGGGAGTTTTGTATTAGCATTTCCATTTTCTACGGTCAATATTTCCCACAATAGAGTGGATTGTTCATTGTGTGCATGTGAATCAGACGACTTCGGGGGTTTGGAGACGCAGTGATACAGTGTTGAACAAGGGTTATTGATGAGTGTGCAGAAAAGGTCACCGGCGTGTCTAATTAAGACGCCATCAGAAGCTAGCATTTTATTTCGCTGCCCTTTTGAGGACAGAAACTTCCGTCTTCAAGCCGCAGCGAGATCAGATGGAAGCTCTTCACCTCCTTTTTGTTTTGTTCCGTCTCTCGGCGCTTTGCTGGCTGTCTTTAATTTGAAGTGCGGCCCCGGCCTTGTTTGAAGTGCGTGCTACAGGCTTTCCCCGAGTCGCTCTGCCCGAACCCCGCTGCTATCAACTCCGCTGCCCGTCGACAGTCTGAGAGAGACAGCGCAGAGACGCAGAGAATTGTAATTCCCTGTTCTCGCTCCTCATCGTAGACGGAAAGCCTTCAAGTTCAGCTTCTCCCCTCGTTGCATCCGTTTGTCGGATTTGTGGAGGAAAAATCTCGAGTTAGCTTTGTAATCCCAGTAAGTCGATTAAAATCTGAGGTATACTGGTACTTTAAGTTGCTTAATTGATGAGATCAAATAACAAATCATCACGATGGCACGATCGTTTCAATGGGACCTTTTAAAGTTTTGAGACGTGGCAGCTCTGCTGTATCGTCACCTTTTATTGGCCGAT